GCACACACGGTCCGCCAAGTCACCTTCGCCTTTTTTACCCCCGGTTCTGCACCGTCGATAACACCGGGCTGGCTCGTAAAGTGGTATAGAAAAGGCTTGTGGAGGCCATCAAGCTTCACAGTACCATTGCCAGCAATAGGGCGGAGCGTTTCCGGGAGGAGAACCAGGATTGACACTAGACTCACGCCTCCAAGTATGGTCAGGAACCAGAAGATAGATCTATACCCAAGGTACTGGGTCAACAGGCCACCAAAGACCGGGCCAATGCCCTGTCCAAGCATGCGGACTACCATTCTTGTCAGCTTCCATGCTACCAGAATTCTTCTGATTCTGCAGAGCCAAATCTACTTACCTCCGCCGAAGATGCCCACCAAGCTACCCCTTTCCGCGGAAGTGGTGATGTCGCCAATAACTCCAGCTCCTGCATAGGCGTTAGGAGTGCTGCAGCAGTGGATTCCAAATGACAATCTTACCAATCGAAATGGTAGCCGCACTACCAGCTGCCTGCAGAGCGCGAAATGCCATGAGCTCGCCATAGTTCTTGGACTCAGCTAGTGCGATGTTTGCTACTAAGTAGACAACAAAGGTGCCAATGAACACAGGGCGTCTTCCTAAAGCATCTGAGAGAGATCCCCAGAAGGTCGGCGCGAGGCCTTGGACAATCATGTATATTGTGATAGTGAGGGTCGCCAGCGTCATGCTGACGTTGAGTGACTGTTCCACGTTCAGTAAACATGTCTGGATCTCTGAAAGGTTCGAGCACTGCATGGCTTATGCTCTGGATACACACCTTCGATACATCGTCCAAAGCAGGGAAGTAAATATTGGAGGACAGCGGTGAAAAGATGGCAGCCATCGAGACGATGCATACCATCTGCAACTTGCGGGATCGAGTGAAAATATGGTGTGGTGGAGGCTCAGACGATTGACCCTCGAATGTGGATGGATCTTGCGAGATCGAACCCTTCTCTGAGTCTTGATCCGTTGAGGAAGCCACCGAGGAAAGTTGTGGCTCTGGGACCTTTGCGGTCTCTTCTCTCGATGGTGACATGTTTATGGCTTGATTGCAGGTCCAGCCCTGAAGAAACTTGCTAAACAATAGTATCCAATTCAAAGAGGATGGACAAGGAGAGTGTTTCTGCAGACGGACCATGTGCGAGGCCAGTGCACTATATGTCCCGGAGTTTCCCATGTCATTGATGCCACGGACAAGACACGCTCGGACTCCGACAGAAGAAAGGACTAGGCATCTCCACTGCGGAGCATGGTTGATGGATGAGGTCAATCCGAGGACCTTCCTAGATGGGAGTCAAGTGGGTAACACATAGAAGCCTTATCGCATGCACGAGGGCCCGAGTTGGAGGGACCTTCGTCTCCGACCAGTCTCACTTGGCACCCAGCAGGCTAGGTCACATTGGGGCAGATCCAAGCCATTGGGCAGCCGCTGGAAGTGGGAGATATGAAGTGGGAACAACAAGGGTCTGGAAGAGACAAGACGGGGCTGATGTGACGACGAGTGGTCAGGAGTATGAGCTCTGCAAGCCATTGAGAGCTGCCGAGACCGTCGACTAGCGCTCGAAGCTGGGAGCTGACGAATGCAATCCACCTGCAACATAGGATTGGTGTGTTTCAGGGACCCGGCGCATCTGTCATGTATCGCAGAATCTAGAAAGAGCGGAGCAAGTGCTCAGGAATCTGGACGGTCTATTGAGAGACGGCGGCATCACTGCCAGCGGGTCCTTGTGGCAACGGACGATCATAACCGGCGAAACTGTTGACCAACGGAGCCGGAGTCTTTCACGTGCGTGTTCAAGACCGGAATTTCTTCGAGGCGTGGTTGTCATCTGAGATATCCTTGAGCCTCTCATCAGCTTTGCCTGTCGATAGAAGATTCCGACTGGCACTTTGCTGGGACAAACATCTGATCATCTTCAAACGTGTTCCAGTATGTTATTCTTGTCCATCCAGTGCCGGAAGGATTGGGCATGGACGAAGATTTACAGGAGAGACCATTATGGCCATTGATAGGCATGATCCTCATTCTTAGGATTTGCATGGATCTCGGGGATCTACATCGGCACCCTTCGCACTCAGGGTGGATGGGGGACCGGGGGGGCTAGAGTCCGGCCAACCCGAAAACCGGTGCCCACTGCCTCCGAGTTGCTGCCTTAACCTTGACATGATGGCCGGTCCCGCATGCTAAGGTGTTAGACTAGAAGATCTGAGTTCCATGCAGCTTCGCCCGCCGCGGAGTTTGGAATTCTGCTTTGGTGGATTTTCAGCGGCAATCACGGCCTGGATGGAGCCTAATGCGTAGGCTCTCCCTTAAGCTTAATTATGTGACCCGAAAAGGGGGGAGGTTTTCAAAAGGATAATAAAAGCAATTCTCTGGTCTTTAACAGTGAGGCCATATTGAAGATAAAGATCTACAGCATAGTGCGGATGGACAGGGCCAACTGCGGCGTATGCAATAATAGCCCGTGATGACGAGGACTCTCGAGCATCGGTAAATCACTGAATGTGCGCAATCATCTATTTGGGGGGGGGGGCACCGGACAGCAGAGCAGGGTAGGGACAGATCACAAATAGTAGATTGCTCGATTCGGTCAATTGCGGAGCACGATGATGATGTTGATGCTCTTGGGTTTTTCCCAAGGGGGAAATTCGTCTCAGCCGTCATTAGATGAGGGTTCATAAGCACTGGCATGTTTCTGTTGGCCTGGAATCGGTATCACATTGCTCAGAAATTGGGGGATGTAAAACGACCTGGGCTAAATATAGTAAGATAGCTGTGGCCTATGTGTCAAAGATCAGTTAAGTTTCTAGAGAGAATCAAGAAGGCCAAGCGATAAGAGAGGATGGATGGATGTGATTGTAGTGACGGTAGAAAGTCGGAGAATCGAACTACTGTACGGAGTACTCGAAGTCCTATCACGGATTCCGCCATGTCAATCTTGGCGAACAAGACTCGGGGGCCAGAACAAGGGAGCCTAAGGGGGAGAGGAGAAGAGGAGAAGAGAAAAAGAGAAAAAGAGAAAAAGAGAAAAAGAGAAAAAGAGAAAAAGAGAAAATAAGGAGAAGAAACAAAGAAGAAATCAGGGATAAACGGAGGGAAGGACTAATTGGGTTCTGAGATGACTAGTTCAAGAGATTAACGAGGTTAACTTTGAGAAGTGGAGCTTAGGAGGGATGGATCAATGGGCGCAGTGGCGCAGATCGACACCGCCCGCGCCAAGCCCCGGTTGGCTTGCCGCGATTGAGCCTGACTTTTCGAGTCGGTCCACTAAGTTACTAACTATATGCAGTACATATTGCACAGTAGGTACATATTGCACTCGGCATATCATAAAGAATCACACAGCTACAAGTACCCAACAGAGATGTATATTCTTGAATGGACTAGCAGAAGACTCGACTTCACCTTTGTTATAGCATATAGCATATATCTACAGAGGGTAGGTAGATATAAATACTCATGACAGTGCACACCACATACACTGAGGACCTGCAGCACTTGCTCACCGTCACGCTACTCACTGACACGGCCACATCGCATGGCAATCAGCGATAGTGGTCTTATCGCAAACCACATCACAATCATCATTGGCAACAAACGATCTCTATTTCTACAGCTATGACAAGACAATAGTGTCTCAGTCCCAAGCCTGAGACCTGCGAGCCACATGAATTGGTAGTGACTTGGAACTGTGGCCCACTTCATCAAAACAATTGCAACCCAATCAAGCTGGAAAAGAGAAGTTGCATGGGTTAGGCCATACAGTAACTCTCATACACTCAAGGGGTGTGCCGCTAGTTAACCTACTGTGAATGGCTCCTCAGCCAGCTTACTATCCTGCCCCATTTAACTAACCTAGTCGGCCCGTTTGTCAACACCACAGCATAGTTTACTTTCATTATGTTTTATGATAAGATTGATCCCACATGACACTGGTGCTTTCTCAAAGGACCCTGGTCACTATTTGTCACTATGTGAAAAAGTCATCACTCGTTCTTATCCCCTTCAGGTTAAACCCGACATCTCAATGGACATCGTTGGAGGTATATGTCGTTATCGGCGGCTACGGCTACCAATAAACCAAATTGATATAGTGTGTGCATTTTGCATCCCATGAGCCCCTGTCACATCCCTGCTGGCTCGGGAATTGATTGATGGGACGGAGTACTTACTCCGTACCAAGCCAGTGCATTATCTCCAACTCGCCTACCACGCCAGGTCTTAGCTGCAGCTGCAGGGCATTCGGTTGAAGAGAGGGGCAAATGCAATTCAATCAATCAATCTAGTCTAAGCCTTCCTACCCCTCCCTCATTCCGTTCCTTGTCTGTCTGCCGTTACCTACAGTGCAAGAAAAAAAAAAGCCGTATACGGAGTAGTCATTGGTTATTGATCCATAGCATTACAGGGTCTGACCGGGATCTAAGGCTCCGCTGCCAAGTTCAGACTGTGCTTTTTGTTTTGAACAATATCATCATAAGGACCCTGGTAGACAGTATCCATACTCTCTACCTGTGTGCTCAGGAACTGGAACTAATTGATAGTTCTAGCCTTTTTACGTGCACAGGTGATGAGAGTGCAAGTAATGCCCGAGTCACGATCGACACCGTCGCAAGAAGTCAGTACAGGAAGTGTTTCTGTTTGGTAGAGACCCTTTTTCTTCCACACCCCATTACATCAACCCGTCCGCTGCGTGTCAGCATTTTCTTCTCTTCTCTTCTCTTCTCTTTTCTTTTTTTTACCTAAGCAGACAATTTTTTTCAGCCACGAGAATGGCTCCTGCATTAGTACTTGATTTGGTGGATCTACTCGGAGTTGTTTGGACATCGGACGTCATGCTCGGGAAGCCGAGAAGCGAGCTTCCGAGCATCGACCGTGACCAAACGGCTTTCGGGTCCTTGTGAAGATCGCTGCTGTTGTAGTCCTAGTAATGGAGATGGAAAGTGACATTCCTCTTGTCTAGGAAAAGTCAAAGAGGTTAGTCATCTTGCGTGTGGCCAGGCTAATCTACACCAGAGAAACGAGGGTCTGTGGACACTGGAGGATCTGTACCGCGGCAGAGACTCGGGTCATCGATGCTCATTAAACGGTGGTGCCTACAAGAATTCTCCCGCACGTGGGCCCGTGAATAATAAATCAAATTTACATACCAGACCTAATTACTGCCTTGCATCTTCTAAACAAAGGAAATATATCGACGAGGGGGATAAGAGATCAGATAGAAAATACAGGACGGCCACCATGGCTCGGGCAAATAAGGAGAAAAGGTCGTCTAAATGATAAATAAAAGGATGAGCAGAAGTACGACATCCTTCACATGTCTGCCTGGTTGATAAAGAAGAAAAATCGCTCATACCAACCAAAAACAAACGCTGCAGGATTATGTCATATCTCCGCCGGGTGCAAAAGTGATTGATGATCACTTAATCTAGACCAGGTCCCTCTTGACGAATTCGGCCAACAGGGCCTTGCCAAGAGCAGCGGGACTTCTCTCGACGATGACACCAGCCTTCTCCAGAGCAGAGATCTTCGAGTCGGCACCACCCTTGCCGCCGCTGACGATGGCACCGGCGTGACCCATACGGCGGCCCGGGGGAGCACTGATACCAGCAATGAAACCAACAGCAGGCTTGTTGTACTTGTTGTTGGCCTTGAGGAACTCGGCGGCGTCCTCCTCAGCGCTACCACCGATCTCACCGATCATGATGATACCATCGGTCTCGGGGTCCTCGAGGAAGATCTTCAAGCAGTCGATGAAGTTGGTTCCGGAGAAGGGGTCACCACCGATACCGACAACCAGAGACTGACCCAGACCGGCCTGGGTGGTCTGGTTGACGGCCTCGTAGGTCAGGGTACCGGAACGAGAGACGATACCGACACGGCCACGCTTGTGGATGAATCCGGGCATGATACCGATCTTGCATTGGCCCTAGCGCATCAAATAACACCAGATGTTATTGCCAGGGATCACTAGTGGCTTTGGCTTGGGTACTTACGGGAGCAATGATACCAGGGCAGTTAGGACCCACAAGACGGGTCTTGTTCTGCGTCTTCAGGATGTCCGTGATACGGACCATGTCTGAGCACTCGTCTATCAGTCTTCCGACCCGAACAGGCATCTAAAGCGCTCGCTTATCTAAGAGAACATACCGTGCTGAGGGATACCCTCGGTGATACTATATCAAGATCAGCGGCCAACTCACTTTCCGAAAGCTCAACAAGATACGTACCAGACAGCCAGAGGGATTTCGGCCTCGATGGCCTCCTCGATACCCTTGGCAGCCAATGGGGGACTGCAATCATTAGCACCTCGCATGTGCATGTTCAATCCACCAACACCGGGTCCTTACGGAACGAAAAGCGCAGTAGCAGTGGCGCCAGTCTCCTTCACAGCCTCGCTCACGTTGGCGAAAACGGGTCTGTCGAGGTGCAGGGATCCGGCCTTCTTAGGGTTGGTTCCACCAACGACCTTGGTGCCTGGCAGTTGTGAGTTTCGCGTACGTGACCATTTAGAGGGTGCTATTCCGCTTGGCGCCTGCGCAGATGGGGGGAGGGATTGGAAAGATTAATACCGTAGGCGATGGCTTGCTCGGCATGGAAACTGCACCCGGACGGGAAAAAAGCAACGTCAGCGATATATCCTTGACAACCTTTCCCAAATGGAACAAAATACGTACGTTCCCTGCTTTCCAGTGAAACCCTGGAAGATCACCTTCGTCTCCGAGTTGATGCGAAGGTTGTTGACGGTCTCAGAGTAGATGGGGCTAGCTGAAGCTGCGTATCCCCGGCGCTGCGTGGCAGCAGCATTGCGAAGAGCAGAAGCGGTGTTACGGCGGAAGGCCTGCATTTTGGCTGGGGGGAAAGGAAAAGGAACCGGGGAAGGAGAAAAGAGAGGAGAGGGGACGGAGATAAAGACGCACTCGAAAAGGTATGAGTGGTTTCAGGAGAGGGGGAGGGAGAGTTTGAATTAGGAGGGTATACAGAGCAGAGGGAAGAGGCCGGTTCAGAAACGCGATTTGGGAACTTTCGGGACAAAGCTTTAAGCGGATCCGAATTGTCACGGGCGGTCGGTCGGTTTTCTCCCTCACTCCCTTTACATTACTTACTTACTACTCGACCAACCTGTGGTGGCACCCTCGGTCCTCCCGCTTTTTTTTTCCCTTTCCCTTCCACGCTTGCCGCGTGCCATACCCGGGTCACAAGTCACCAGTCACCTCTTATCCAGTTGTTATTCCAATCATTATTATTATCGCTCACTCATTAAATTGTACTTTTGATTGAACCCGAGCGAACGGCCATCACGGGCGCAAGTCTTACCGCGCATCCGCCTCTCTGGTCGCTTTTAATTCGAAAATAACTTCCGCAACCTCATTTGGCGACCGTCGACCGTCGACCCTCGCCCGCATATCTAACCCACGATGGCGACCGTCACTATGACTATGCCGCCACCATCCTCGAAGCCCAAGAAAAATGCCAAACTTCCCTCGGAGAATGAACGGTTCATGCGAGCTTGTTCTGATATTGCGAATGCTCTAATTCAGGACCATGAATCACAGAGGGATCCCACGAAGCCCCGCAAAGATATCAACCTCAACAAGCTGCGGGGTCAAATCGCCAAAAAGCATGCCTTGTCCACTCAACCCCCTCTGACAGCCATCATCGCGGCAGTTCCCGAGCATTATAAGAAATATATCCTTCCCAAATTGATTGCCAAACCAATCAGTATGTTGTTTCGTGCCTTTATGGGGTATGCCGTCCGCATATACTAAACAGTTGCCGCTAGGAACCTCCTCCGGTATTGCCGTCGTCGCCGTCATGAGCAAACCCCACCGCTGTCCCCATATCGCATACACGGGAAACATTTGTGTCTATTGCCCCGGTGGCCCCGACTCCGATTTCGAGTATTCCACACAGTCCTACACTGGCTACGAGCCCACCTCGATGCGCGCTATCCGTGCCCGCTATGATCCTTTTGAACAGGCTCGAGGGCGTGTTGACCAGATCAAGTCACTCGGCCACAGCGTTGATAAGGTGGAATATATCATCATGGGCGGAACGTTCATGTCTCTTCCGGAAGACTACAGAGAATCTTTTGTGGCCCAGCTCCATAATGCTCTGAGTGGCTATCAAACAGACAACGTCGACGAAGCGGTGCAGGCCGGTGAGATGAGTAACATCAAGTGCGTCGGTATCACCATCGAGACCCGTCCGGACTACTGTCTCGACACCCATCTGAGCAGTATGTTGCGCTATGGCTGCACGCGACTGGAGATTGGAGTCCAGAGTCTGTACGAGGATGTTGCCCGGGACACGAACAGAGGCCATACTGTCGCTGCGGTGGCGGAAACTTTCAAGCTCGCAAAGGATGCTGGCTTCAAGGTAGTCAGCCATATGATGCCCGATCTGCCCAATGTGGGCATGGAGCGCGATCTCTTCCAGTTCCAGGAATACTTTGAAAACCCAGCTTTCCGGACCGACGGTCTGAAGCTCTACCCCACCCTTGTCATTCGTGGAACCGGTCTCTACGAGCTATGGAGAACTGGTCGGTACAAGAACTACACCCCGAACGCGCTGATCGACCTCGTCGCCCGTATTCTTGCTCTGGTGCCCCCGTGGACTCGTATCTACCGTGTCCAGCGTGACATCCCCATGCCGCTCGTCACTTCCGGTGTCGAGAACGGCAACCTGCGTGAGCTCGCCTTGGCCCGTATGAAGGACTTCGGAACGACTTGTCGCGATGTCCGGACCCGAGAGGTGGGTATCAATGAGGTCAAGAACAAGATTCGACCTTCGCAAGTGGAGCTGGTTCGTCGGGACTACTACGCCAACGGGGGCTGGGAGACCTTCCTGGCCTACGAGGACCCCAAGCAAGACATCCTGATCGGACTTCTGCGCCTCCGCAAGTGCAGCGCCACGCACACCTTCCGCCCCGAATTCACCGGCCAACAGACAAGTATTGTCCGGGAGCTGCACGTCTACGGCTCGGCTGTCCCCCTTCACGGCCGTGATCCCCGCAAGTTCCAGCACCGCGGATTCGGCACCTTGCTCATGGAGGAGGCTGAGCGGATCGCCCGTGAGGAGCATGGCAGTCAAAAGATCAGTGTCATCTCCGGAGTCGGTGTCCGCAGCTATTACGCTCGTCTGGGTTACTCCCTGGATGGCCCGTACATGTCCAAGACGCTGGAACCCGTTGAAGATGAGGAGTTCTTCTGATGTTTCCACGAGTGATATCGCTGATGTTTTCATGATCCCATAATGCCTCTATTCAGATAGAATTCCCGAGGTCTGTATTATCTGTCCAAAAGTGCTTGTTTTATCTGGGCCATGGGTTGGTCCGCGCATCGGGGCGTTCCAAGGAGTGTTGTTCGAAACGAAAAGCGATCTACGGCGGCTGTGTGTTTTTTCTTTCTTTCCCTTATACACCTTACATATTTTTGGCTAGGTTTTAAGAGCGACGTGAATGGCCTGCTTGTTTACAGGGGTGCCAATGACCTAAAGAATGCGTTGTTGTATCTAATCAGAAAAGAAAGGGGCGGGTATGGAATCTATACTTCTACAACAATAATGCATAAGCGGTGGTTTATAAAGGATTTGTCCAATCGCTGGTTGGATAGGATGCTGGGGAGATCCATAAGCAGGGGCAGAAGTAAGTTACCAACACGAAAGCAGCAACGCGCGCTCTTTCACAGGACTAAACGTACGTACTATATACAGACATACCATACACCATCTTCATGGGTCTATGAAGAATAAACAAGCGAACAAAATCACCAAAAATTGGAGTGAAAAGAGGATCGGGTACTTCGCTCAAGGAAGAAGCAGATAGCGGCGGATCTGGTGCCCTTCTCCTGCCGCCGAGGACCAGAAGCAAAGCAAATCAAATCACCTACTGTGCCTGTAAAGCAAGGCAGCTCGTGATTCAATCTTCTACCCCCCTTCCCGCGAGAGGCAGATGCCACACAGCCACGCAACTTCTTTGTGGAAGGGGGGCGAACGATGCAGCAGCCAGCGCCTAGATCAGAAAGAACCATGATCCTCCCCCCGGGGATCCGAACCCGACAAAGCAAGCCCACACGCAGTTGTAAACGACGTTCATTTCGAGATAGGGATATAAAAACAAAAACACGGTAGTATAGGGCGGGAATAAGGTTTGCGGAAGACACATAAGAGCAGGGGGGTTTTTTTTTCTCGGAACCACCAGCCGGGTGTAGTGGATTTAGCTCAAAGAGATGGCGCCGCCCCTGCGGCTTCTCGTGTGCAGGTAGGCCTGGAAGGCGCAGAATACGAAGAATGCCTGTAGGAAGAGAGAAAAGGACCGTACGTTAGCATCTGTCATGACGGATTCTCTGTTGCCTGGGTGGGATCATGGATGCGGGTGGGAACGGAACGTACGACGTATACAAGGACAGCGGTGTAGATGGAGGCAGCGACTGCGGCGCCATTCTCGGGTTCTTCTTCACCGCCGGTGAAGCTGTGGTGTTCTCTCTGTTTGTGTCAGGGGGTTAGTCATGGCAATTTGTTTGAGCGGGGGTGTGAAGCGGCTGGAGTCTCGTGGGAGGAAGTTGTGATAAAGGTGCCATACTTGGAATAGCGATCCGAGGACTGAGAGAATGACGATGGCGAAGAGAGATATGACCACGCTGGAGAGATTCGGTCAGTTATCTCGAATGGTACACTGGAGGTGATGTTTGAGAGGTCTGAGTTTACCAGGACCAAGCGTTCATCAAAGATACGACGGGCTTCATCTTGTTGGCTGAAGAGGGGGCGATAGCGTTCGAAGGCTGACGATACGGAAGGCAGAAGGGAGGGTGGAGCGGGCCGGTCAAGCTGTATAAAGATAGGCGGAAGGTAGATATACTCTTGTATTGTGTGGGAGCTAATTTTAAAACAAGCAAGATGCAGACAGATGAAGAGAGTGAGTTGAAATTGACCCAGGGCTGAGATTCAGTTGGAGAAGCTGTGATGTCGACTAGGAACTCGGCGGTGCCGGTGCGGTGCTGGTGCGGTCACCGCTAAGCCGCTTTCGGCACTGACGGTCTTTCCGGCTGTCTCGACCTGCGACGGATGGCCGCGTCATTCCACCAAGGAAGTGGGATGTAGACGAAGGTATATATATACATAGTATTGTATATATGTCTGCTGGTGGTAAACTACCACGGTCCGTTGAAGATAACAATATTCTTTGTGAATATTCCAGCTTGGAGTAACTATTAATGGTAAAATGAAATGTTGCTTAGTAGTATATATTTTTGCAGCCGAGCCGCCTAAAGTGCGTATATGTACATGTGCTCGGACAGAATCGATTGTCCTTGATCTAGGAGGTGTTTCCCTGGATGCCCACTTAATGCGACTTGTTCCACTCTATACATCCATCGAACGTTACCCCAGAGCCACCAAAGATGTCCAAAGCACTTCCAATGGTCAAATCAACTCTCCCCTGACTGCTGGCATGAACCATTTCCAAATCCTGCAAACTGCGAGCGCCACCGGCATAGGTGACGGGAATTGTACACCACTGGGCTAATTTGGCGATGAGCTCTTCATCAACACCCTGCTGCAGCCCCTCTACGTCAGCGGCATGGATGAGAAACTCGGAGCAGTAAGGTTCCAGCAACGAGATCGACTCTGCTTCAGTTAGTCTTACAGCTTGGCTCAGATAGAAGCAAAACGGTAGCCCAGGGACTGCAACCGCCAGGCATATCAAACACCTGTCCGCTCCTGCCTCTTGAGATACGAGCAAGGATGGGCGAGAGAGCTAGTGGAATTCATGGGCAGGAACTTGCCTTGGTTGATCTCCATCTCGGTAATGGTCTGCCAGCGGTTCATGGCCACAAACCAAGTGTTGTCCTTTCTACGGCAACTCAAGTCCAAGACCAGCTTTGATCGATCGCCTCCAAGGGCAGAAAGAACGGATTCAAGCCGCTCCTTCGAGAACTTGCCCTCTGGAAAGAGGAATGATGTAATGATCACCTACGAGAACGGGTCAGTCATGACAAGGCTGCACGTTGCTGGTACCAGAGACAGTGAGATCCAGACGCAAGAGCATGGAGTAAGATCAATCCAATCAGATACCTGCAGCTGAGCTGCAGACTGGATTTACGCTGTGAGACAGCAAGCGTAGGCATAGAGGCTCACCTTCTCGGCACCCTGGTCAATCCAGTACTGAGCGTTCTTATCGGTGATTCCTCCAGCCACTTGCAATCCGTTAGGCCAGGCTCGAAGTGCCTCATGCGCTGCCTCATCGTTGCCTGGGCCCAGCATCACGACATGCCCGCCGCGCAAATCGTGCTTCCGATATAAGTCGGCGTAATGACCGGCGGGGAGCTTGGAGACATAATTCGTCTTCAGATCGGCAGCAACATTGCTTAGGGTTCCGCCCACAATCTGCTTGACTTGCCCCGAGTGGAGATCGATGCAAGGGCGAAATTTGGTCATTTTTGAGTTCAAGGATTTGTTCAACGCCTTCTTGGAAATGTCGCGGCGCGCTACGAACTCGATTATAATCGGTGAAATCCAACGAGGGGTCGGACCTATCTTATCGCACGTGACATCATGCGATAACGGCTGACATAAGCACGTTTTGCGGCTAGTCTTCTCAATCGCATGGGCCTTTTTTTTTCTCTCTTGACTTTTCTATGCTCTAGTTTTTGGGTTCCCAACGCACACTCATACAAGGATCGATAAAGATGATTGGGAAACGGAAGAGGGGCACGGCCGTTGTGTCGAGAGCTACAACTTCAGATGACGAGGCCACGCCGCAGACAACCACCGAGTCCTCCCAGGACATTTTCCGCAAATTCTTCGAAGCTCAATTCCAACCGTTGGATGTACCTGGAGGTCAGGTATCCCGCCGTGATGATTCAGAAGACGAAAGCGACGGGGAAGACTTGGAGGCTTCCGATGCTGAGTCGGATTGGGATGGTATGAGCGGAGACGAAGAGGAACCAGAGGAGGTTGAAGTAATTGAGCATCGGGACGTAAAGTCCCAGGACTTGATGGACAAGAAAGCTCGCAAGGCCTTCATGGTAGGATATACTTGGTGGCCCATTGAAATTGAGTATCCTAACGCTGGTACAGACCGCCAAACCGCCATCCTCAATCTCCGAGCGAACCACGGCCAAAACGCCGAAGAAAGATACCGAGGATGACAACGATGACACCGAAATTGATGCGGACCATCTGAAAAACGATCTCGCACTGCAACGTCTCCTAAAGGAATCCCACCTTCTCGACTCAGCGTCCGATCTTGCTCCAACTGGCAAGAATCGCATCAAGGCTCTTGACTTGCGGATGCAGGAACTAGGATCTAAAGAGTCCTTGTACAAGCAAAAGATGCCCTCTTCTCACCGGAGAGGCATCAAAGCCAAGGCCGAGATGAAGGAAAACAAGCGTCGAAAGGAAGCCAGAGAAAATGGAATTATCCTCGAAAAACCGGCACCTAAGTCGAACACCAGCAGCGCCAAACGGCGAGAACGTGGTGTTGGAGGGCCCTCCGTCGGAAAGTTTGCAGGCGGAACTCTGAACCTGAGCAAACATGACGTAGCCGCTATCCAAGCATCAGGCCGGTCAAGCAGCAGAGGCAGAGGCAGGGGCGGTGGCAGAGGCAGAGGCAGAGGCAGAGGACGTCGCTAGTTGTCGATTCTGGCCCATGACACCTGACAACTACGCATGACATGCATCGCGTCCAAATTCCCTTCGAATCTCTTGCACTCAAAACACGCTACCGCTGTGCATAGTGCCTCCGGCTCGGGGCGTACTGTATGCTTGCCTCAGTATCGATTATCGGCGAAGAGAGGGGCTGTAGTTGCTTTCGACCACGCGAGTGGCCTCGAACTGCTGATCTGTTTCACCAGCTCGCCTTGACCCCTATTTGCGAGAACGAACGCCTCCATTGACGGCATGATAGGATGTTTCCAGTTTTCCTGACTCGCGCCAAGTTGGAGGAATGACAGAACCCTCACCGCAACTCCTCTCGTATTGAGTGCACCTGGATGGTGCGGACGTTCAGTCTGCGACGTTGAGTCTACTATCGAACTCCTAACTTGATCGCACAAACCTTATTCTGCCCACCCTTGGACCCGGGCTGCGAAGCACGTACCCTTAGCGTGGGAGTGTTCCAGATATGGCGAATTCTCCGAGTCGAGCTAATGTTTGAGAACGGGAACCCCCAGACCTGAGACAGATCGCTTCGTTTAGCATGTTTGGGGATTCTCAACATGCATGACGATATAGCGAAAGCCGCTCCCCAGTGGTTGACTCCAGTCAGTCACATAGCGCTAATCTACAAACACTTGAATGAAGCATGATCACGCGTTGACTTTCTTCCTGAAATTCTTATCACGGGTAAAAATAGAACAAGTGCGGGTTAGTAGTCAGTGGTCTAGCAGTTTAGTATAGGAGTAGTTCAAGCAACGCTGCTCTAACGAATTGGAAATTAAGAATATTCAGGTTAGACTTGCATTGGCAGTGTGATGCAATAGTACGAGCCTCGCCAACACAATGTAGAGATGAAGGTTCTCTCCCTCTTGAATTGTGAATTGGGGGGTCTCTTTTGTTTGTTTGTTTGTTGACTCTAGTCGATTTGGCCTATTTCTCTTCTAGCTTAGTTGGGGCATTTTTACCCCTATTTTTTTTTCTTTTCTCTTTTCTTTGGTTCCTCGGGAGGGGTGGAAACTTCAGACCAGGGCTGAATGGGGAACCAAGGAGAAATCGAACATCCGATGATCTGATTGAGTTTCTTTTTTGTTTCTTTTTTTTTTTCTTTTTGCGGTTCTGTGGTTAGACTAGTGGTGACGAGCTGGTTTATGGATAATTGTTCCTGGATTCCCCACCGGAGACAAAGCAGTTCAAGTTCCTTTTCAGTGCTCACCCACTGTGTGCCCACTGCCGGAGAGGAGGGGGGGGGTACCTGCATGAAGGACCTGACAATAATAGGTTTAGTGCGTTGGGGAGTCGTAGGGGTAATGATGGGAGTGGGAATTTCTCTTCCCACCGACGCCGTAACCGTGGATGACGGAACTGCTAGTCAGGCACAATATGTCTACCAGTCGATTGTGATTTGTTCAAGTCAACGCTCGACTTTTGGGACGACTACGGGGAGGGGTGTTGGATCGGTCTCATTAGTCAGTCACTTAGTATTGAAACTGGAAAGAAGCCCCGGCCATGTGCGAAATTCCGCAGGAAACAAGAGGAAACAAAAGAGCCGGGAGGAAGGAAAAAACGACTCCATCCAGGGCTTGCTTGTCGTCGTTTCAGATTCTGCATGTAACCCAATTCTGAGCAGGGCACCAACCCCACCAGAGCTCGAAGAACGTGTCGCCTTCTTACTGCTACTACTATTACGATGACTATAGAATTCGAATGGCACGGAGGTTGATTAGCAGAAAGGGTCAGGATAGCAAAGTAATTGTTGCATGTTGTTGACTGAGTAGCTAAGTGCAGGCACTTTTTCGTCACAGGGATCCACCAAAGATTAAGAAAAAGAAAAAAAAAATGAAAGAGAACGGACTCGGGCCACTCTGGATTTTTTAGACTCTGAATAGTCGAGTAAATAGTATCGGATGTCCTACCAGACTGACCTATACCACCCATCAACTAAGACACAACAGATACACCAAAGGCACCTCGGCGTTCAGCGATATGTCAAAGCATGCGTAATGATTAGCTACATGGTGATTCTATACCATCTTCATCGTCTTTGAAGTTGGTTTGACCCAATACAAACGACGTATCGAGTAATCGCTAGTTCTAGTAGGGAGCCGGCTTGATTCATGGTCTAGTCTAGACTGACGGGAGGAAATCCGATGGTTTCACGGGTTGACCTGCCGGATCTCCAGTCGTGGTGGTTGAAAGGAATCTGGTCCGTCCATTGCAACGCCGAGGTTTACACGAAGGGGGAACAATGGCGCTGATCAGCCAGCCCCAGTCCGACGTATCCGATTTTCCCTGTGAGGTTATTCGATATCCCCCGTACTGCGTTGCTTGGCCCTCACTTAGCCTGGCCAAAATGGCAACAGACCGGCCTGCTTTCCGTTGCTCGTCTGATCCACGAAACAATGCCAACTTTGGCATAGCAAGCCATACAGTTCTCCTGAAGAACGAAGGTGCTGCTGCATGCTATCGTGGCGAAATAGCTTCCGGGACAGGTCTCCCATGACGTAGTCTGGCGAGAAGTTATCGTACCGTACTGTCCTGATGAAATGCTCATAGCAACATTCGCAAGTCCAACGGCAGGTGCGCCTCGACCTCCTCCCCCCCACCCACGTTCTCGAGAGATCAAGTCATATACGAGTATGTGTTGACAGTGCGCCTTGCTCGCTAAGTACTAGGTAGCCTCATCTTTGGATCAGTCGATGCTCTAAATCGAGAACGGAAGGCAGATACAGCATCTTGCAACTTACCCGAATATGGACCAAGCGCTGACCCATACTCTCTAAGTTAACTTATTAGATATGAGTAATGGGAGGCTTTAGCTTCCGAAACCCGAGAGTGAGCCTCGTCGCCTCGTCGCGACTCGCGAGGATTTCATAGCAGTGACATGCTGTCGCTGGACTTTTCCAGATGGGTTCTCGGGGTTGGACGATCAAACAAAGACTCCGTTGCGCGGAGCAGGCCAAGATCTTCTGGACTCTACATAGTAAGATCAATATTCTGTCCCGGGCACCGATGTTTACAGTCCACAGTCCACAGTAAGGTATCCGTAGCTGCAGGTGTACGGAGACAGTATCCATAGTTGGCGCAGGTTGTTTTGGTCCAGGACGGCGGTAATTTATGGCTCCAGTCCCGTCCGCCGAGAACCCGGTAGACCGGAGTCAGGTACAATTACCAGATTGGGCTTGGTAGCAACGGACCTTTCAAGGTCTAGAAGAATTTTCTCCATCAGGAGAGCTTCGCTGCTAACCTAACCTTAGCAAAGTCCAGGGAGGCTAGGAGTTTAGGACCTCCTCGTCGCTCCACTGCTCCATACGCTGGGCCGTACCTCGCCTTCATCGCATCGTGTCGCTGCGCAAAGAGAAGAGCTCTTTCTCCCGCGTACGCCCTCTGCCCAGAACTTATCCTCCTCGCCTCTTCTCTCCCCGTCGGGAGATCACTATCCGCGCACTCCGGCGAGTGTACATACGTACCACGTAGTTCTCTATAGGGCTCGCCCGGGAATCTCGGTGATCGCCCAATGTAGCAATCAACACCCGCCTTTTAGACTCCTGACCACTGGGCCATCGGAGAATTCTTCTCGGAGGGTCAGTACGTAGGTATTCAATAATGGGCTTAGCAAAGGGTCTTTTGCCACTGATCCCGGACAAAGACAACGCTTTGATGTTGATCAGGACTGTCTAGATTCCCCCCCCTGGATTGACGGACTCTGACCCCAACAGCACGGTACCCCCTCGCCCCCCTCAATGCTCTGTACGTTTATACGTATGTGCAAGTGCAATTGATGATCACTTCGGCCGAGTCAGTGGAGTGAGTGAGTGCCTGGGAACTTACCTAGTAAGGGTGACTGGAGAGATGAATCTTACATAATTAGGGGCAAGCCAATGAGGACGAGGCAGTACTGCACTATGACGATACTCCCCCTGCTAAGGTGTCGACCTAGTACGGAGACTGGGTGCATACCTAAGTACCACGAAAAATCCTTTGTCTGCTGCCCGTGATGCATATCCAGTCACTTCTCCGAAAAGATCATGTACTGACAAAGCTCGAAATCTTGCATTGATCTATCATATCTCGGAAATGGCCACTACTTCAGATGGCCAAATCAGAGTGCTCTGTGATTAAGCTTCGCCGTTTGCCGGTCAATCTTTCGGTTGTGCAGATCAGTCCCCGTTGATGTTCAAGATATCCAACGTCGTGCTTCTGACGACGATGCTCTGGTTCCGAGTGACATGCAAAAGAACAAACAACGAAACCCTTTTTTTTTGGTATTTCTGCAAGCCATGATTGGTCAATTTTTCGCCCTCCTTGTCGATGCCAGATTGGACAGGAAGAGGGGGATTGAAACCCAATCTTGATAGATAGCCGGGCGTGTCAGTCTTCCGCTTCGGCTTCAAGTTGCGAGAATAATGAGTGCACAGAACGGATGAGCCAAGATCTGAAAAAGTCCAGTGGTGAATAGATCACAAACCCATGTGATTACAGCCTTATGCGCATGGTACGGGCAGGTTGCACACGGACCAAATTTATGTGTCTCAAAAATGAGCTTGGATAACCCTCCTCCCCCCCATGGTATGTTATTTTAATTAAACTACCCCGTAGATCGACTGCTGGTATATGAGGTTAATGGCTGTGCACTTTATTACGATGCGCGAAGCCCAAATGTTATGCATTCCATGCTATAGGAAATCCCGGCGATTATGGCCTGCTGGCCGACCTACGAGTGTGCGCGGATCCATTGTACAGTCCAGTACCGCTTCTGGGCCTCTGATCTTCTCCTCGGAGACGCGACATCGGTTTACCTTGATGATTGATCAACCCCCCCTCTCCCAAAAAAATTGAAGGAAGAGACAAGAAGATAGCTTTAGCTATGGTACTTACTCTTAAGAGCCAGGTTCAATCATAAGTGGCGTCGTTTGGCGCTGCCGCTTGGTCGCTTCTTACACCATATCTGGACGAGTAACAGGAGATGGACCGTTCAA